TGGGTATTTAGAACAAGAAATAGCATCTTGACAACATTTTATTGAATCCAAAGTAATCAAACACTTTTGCACATCTTCAATGTTTTCAGCTTTAAAATCACTTAGTCCTATTTCTGATGGTACTATTGTTTTACCATTAATTTGCATAAATAATCCAGAATCTGAATGAAAATTTTATTTTGAAACTAAAATTATGTTAAGTTGCAAACAAATTTATTTATTTTTATGTAGTACTCTTGAGCAACACAATATTGGGTTAAGAATATAAAAATTATAGTTAAGTTACCATTATTGAGTTATAACATAATAATTGTCAAACATATATTTTTTATGATAAATAGAATTATTTGGGATTATTACCTTCGGTTATAACCCATTGCTTTTCAATGTATCTGTTAAAATCAGGTTGAAAATTGATCAATTTATTATAGAAAACATAAGGTTCAATTCCAAAATACCAATTTTTTGGAACACTAATTGAGTTCAAATTTTTCAAACCATTTTGATAAAAATACATTTCTGAAACTTCCGTATCTATCTGTTGACAACATTAAAACAATGAGAAAATTAATCTTACATCATACTATACTCTTTTCAGAATAAGAAGGAACCAGGCGGCCACGGACAAAACCGGTTTTGTTACGTAAATCTGGTGCGTTCTTATTCTGAAAAGAGTATAGATAGTTTATTAATTATATTAATATTCAGAACCTTTCTCCTTTTAGAGGCTTCCTATATTTCATTAAACCTGGTAGATTCAAAATTGTCTATATCCATTTCATTTTTATTATAGGAATCAGTTACATTTTGAATCTAAAATATTGTAATACAATTTATTAGGAAATAGATGCACTTGACAAATTATTTCATCAATGACAATAAAGTGGCTACTTAAGGTGGCTTCACACATGTAATATTAACAAAACTTTATATCCCAAAACAAATTAACAGTAAACACTAATTTAAAATGTACTATTTGGAAAATATATCAACGTGAGTAACAGCCTCTGCAAAAAAATTACATATTTGTAAAAGATATAATTTTTATCAAAAAATTGTAATTGCTATTAACTCCAATATTCACTGGGTCCACTGCAGGTTCTGAAGTTTCGTGTTCAAACCATTTAAACCGAATGGCTCCCTTTCTTAATTTGTGTTTTTTTAAGCATATCCATTAATTTAAATAATACAACATATAACATAGGTATACATTGTACAAGTGTATTGTACATCATATCATTCATAATATTACAAATTCACATTGCATGTAATTCAATAAAGAAGTATACTTACGGTGTACTTATAAAGTCCTTCACCAGACTCCTATGTGCTTATAATATCACATTCATTAAAGTGTGAGGCACACACTCTAAAACTTTTTTTTAGAGCAATACTTAAAGTATCTTCCAAAAGTTTTTTTACTTCGTCCTCTTTAGGAACGCCAAAAAGAGTTTTAGACACACAATGTGACTCACGAATTGCACAATAATTAGGCATAATGACCAAAAAGAGATCTCGTTTAAATAATAATATTAGAGCATATATTAAAACATAGCATTATCATATAATTATTATATAGATAGAGCACGAGAACAGTGAATCGTGATTCGTGATTATAATTAAGTTATTTACTCAATTATATTTATTGTTGATTCAATAATTTAATATTATGACGGGAAATAGGAAAATTATAATATTGTAGTTCCAATTAACAACCAGCGAGAACGTTAGTAGTTGTTCACTTTTTCGTATGTTAGATAAGAACTCTCGGCGACCACGGTCTAACATTGCGTAGTATAGCCCGATGTGCAACCATTCTATCTAAAACCGTGCTAATAACAGAGAAAACTGCCTTCATTTATGGACAAGAGATATGAAATAGCTTTAATAGTTTTTCCACCAACGCACGAACAAACATAATTATAGTTGAGAATAGGGTATATACTATATTTAAGTAGAAAAGTTCCCAGTTAGTAGTAGTAGGTAACGCGTACGGGAAGAGACAGCCGGCCTGGCCGGCGGCGCGGTCCGACGTCGTTGTCGAAGTCCGGGCCCCCACCACTTACCGTCCAACTAACGCGCGCCGTGCGGGTGACAATAAGGGCCGGGCCACACATAGCGGTTGCACCGCCCAACAAATTAAAATTGTTTGATTTTAAATGAAACCGCCTAATATGCCTAATATAAGACGAAATTGACGATGATTTTTTGGCTAATTATAGTTGTGCTGACGATAATGCTACAGAATGTGAGCCATTAACTTCGTCAACTCAAAAACAACCATCGGAACATTCGAAGCAAAGCAAAAAAAAAAAATCTAATGAAAACAATGGTACTTTTCAACAAGAACTGCTTCAGTTTTTGGATAGAACAGAAAATACAGATCCAGATAAAGTTATGCTGAATTCTTTTTTACCATACCTAAAAAATTTAAATAATACACAGAAATTAGATTTTCTTTTATATGTCTTACAGTTTTTTAAAAATCCTTAGGTAAATAGTAATATTCAGGCTTCATCTCAAACTAATCATGTAATTACAATCTTTTGCTCAGTATTATAATCCTAACGCAGTCACACAATCTTTTTATCCTTCACAAAATGCTCCTACTAATCCTAATACCCCACACTTAACTTTCCCACAGCATAATTATGATCATTTAAATTACCCTCATAGTCAAAATTATTCTCCAAACAATCATGAATAAATAATGTTTTTATTATATAGGTAGCTTTAAGTATCAAAGTTCAAGATGTTTTTTTTATTTTCACTTAAATTTTTAATTAACAGTAGATACATTTCATATAAATATTATGTTTGATTTTATTATTTTGGATTTTTAGTTAGTAAGTAACACAATAAGGAATACGATTATGTTATTTTTATATTTATTCATTTAATTAATACTTATAATAAATAAATATAATATAGGTAATATGTATCTAATTTATTAAAGTGATTTACCTGAGTGTAGGTAGTTATTTTGCAATGTAGATAATTTAATCACGCCAACATCTGCAAATCAATTATTGTCCACTATCTCAAATAATTTAGTTGATAGTAACCTACATTTATGTACACTGAGCATTACCAACTTCTGAATGAATTTGATATCATCTATATATATAAAAATGAATGTATGTCAGTGTGTCAGTGTGTCTGTGTGTCTGTGTGTCCATGTTACCATGGTTACCAAGGTTGCCATGGTTACTAAGGTTACCAAGATTTCATATCAATATATATATATAAAAATGAATGTATGCCAGTGTGTGTGGGTGTGTGTGTGTGTGTCCATATTACCATGGCAACCATATCTGTATATAAAAAACAGTAAGCTGATTGACTGCTATCAACGCACAGCTCAAACCATTGGACGGATCTGGCTGAAATTTGGCATACAGCTATCTGTAATAATATAGACGTGCGCTAAGAAAGGATTTGCCAAAATTCGCATTTTAAATAGGTGCTGTAACAGGGACATTGAGATTCACGATAGAAATTGGAAATTTTATTTTTATTTATTTATAGTTGCCATTGGTTACAGTCCACATTAGAAATTAGCATTTATTTATTGGTTGCCATTGGTTATTCCGGCAGATCAGGTACAAGCTTGCATCAAATCGAATTATTGAACAATGCTTACCAGGGTGGCAGAGTTGCACTTACCGCAGAAAATTACACCCAAAAGGAGTTCAACAATCATAATTTTTTTAAGAGTTGCGATTTTTTACGAGCAACCAAATTTATTATATTAATCCACAGTATTACATCAAAATAAACTTGGTATAACTTTGATACTTTAGAGTTAAATCATACACTTCCGTACAAACAGCACGGGGTCCGCGATCTACAGCAGGTAGATTGCCTACCTGATAATGTACTGCTGCGATTCAGAATTTTTATTCAGGGCAACGGGAAAGATAAGATAAATTTTGAACACCATACACCGAATATTGAATAATGAATTGAACAAAGTTTGAGTAGGTAGTATTGAGTTGATCCACTTAACGGGCGACGAAGTGCACGGGATCAGCTAGTTAATAATAAAACAAGTCCAGGTCCAGATAATATGATATCTAATTGTTTCTTTATAGAATGCAAATTTGTTTTGGCTATTCCGTTATTACTCTAATTTAATTTATCTCTTTTTTTCAGACTGGAAAATTAGTCATGTTACACCAATCAAAAAAGGAAACGATTTGTCTAATATATTTAATTGCCGGCTGATTTCCCTGATTTCTATTATTCTTAAAATATTTAAATCCTTAATACCATTAAATATCCCATCAGGCGTTGGGACACAGGCCACAAGGTTCTCATTTAGCTCCTTTGCTTTTTATAATATTTATTAATGATTTACATTTTAATGATTCAAAAACTATTATTTGCCGATGATTTTAAATTATTTCGATTAATAAAGTCATCCTCAGATTCTGTATTGATATAGAACGAATTAATTCGCTTATCATTTTATTTTGGTGTAAAAAAAACAAATTAATGCTAAATGTTGATAAATGTAAAGTAATGACTTTCTCCAGGTCTCGTAATCCAGTTATTCATAATTATTATTTAGATAATGTTCTACTTAATCGGATGATTGAAAATCTAGATTTAGGTATTACGTTTAGTTCTAATCTTACTTTCAATAAACATTGCCTGATTATTTCTAAAAATCGTCATCTATACTAGGATTTATTAGTAGGACATGAAAATGTACTAATCCCTTTACTCTTTAGGCACTATATTTTTCACTAGTACGTTTTATTTTAGAATATAATTCGATTATCTAATACTAATACTAATACCCATATCCAATGCCTTGAAGGTATACAAAATCGGTTCCTTCATTTTATATCTTACAAGTGCAATATCCCACGTCAACGTCATAAGTGCGGCATAAGTCGGTTCCCCAATAAACACAACAAATTAAATATGTATATTGTATATAGATTTATTAGATATTATAGATTTTATTTATATTATTAAATAATTACAAAAAATCACTGGGTATGCTCGAACTGATGACCATCTTTTTCGATGCAACTGCGGCAACGAGAGTCCACAGAACCGCATGTGCGGCGCAGGATTTCGACCTGTGTCCGGAGTTCGTCAAATTCTTCCTCGATGATTTTTTTTAAGTCTGGGAGCGTGAGCGGATTCCTGGAAAAGACGCGATCCTTCAGTAGGCCCCAGAGAAAGAAATCGCAGGGTGTTAGGTCACAGAATCGTGCTGGCCACTCAATTTTTCCACGCCTACCAATCCAATCACCGAAACACACATCTAGAAACTGACGCACAATGAGCGCGTAGTGCGGTGGGGCGCCGTCTTGCATGAAATGGACAATGCTTGTCAGTTCAGGGTCTTCATCCATCTGCCCACGTAGGTCCTCCAGCATATCTAGGTACGTTTGCCCAGTGACAGTGTTGTCAAAAAAGTACAGCCCGACTAACCCTGTGGTGTGAATTCCGTCCCAAACACACACGCCCGGTAAGTTCAGTTGTTTCTCAATGCACATGTTTGGGTTGTCCGTACTCCAATAAACACAATTGTGTCGATTGATTGTACCATTTAATTTAAAAGTCGCCTCATCTGTCCACAAAATCTTATGATAGAGCGCGGGTCCTCTTCTAAGCAGCCAAGGTACCGCTTGCCAAATTCAAGCCGGCGATCAAAGTCATCCTCATGTAATGCTTGCACGAGCCGCGGGCGATAAACTTTATAATGCATTCGTTTCAGCATGCGACGCAGGGACCTAACTGAAATGTTTAATTGCATCGATAGTTTACGGGCAGACTGATTCCCATCTTCGGCAAGATATAGCGCCACCGTCTCCATGTTTTCAGGTATTGTGACTGTTACTGGTCGACCGGAACGCGCTGCGTCTGCTACAGAACCCGTTCGAAGAAACTTATTATACAATTTTGTCACATTACGACGAGAAGGTACTGGTCGATTCGGAAAGCATGCCTGGAAGTCAGCAAAAATCGTTTCATAGTCGGCATCCAACCGCAGATACGAAACGAGTAAAAAAATTCGTTCTTCTATCGTGAATTTACCGTTACCGACTTCCATGTTAATCGCGAGAAAATGAATCAAATTGAGTAAATGACTCACACACCCCACGTTTGTACTACACACTAAAGTTTCCTAAATATCAATTACTTGAACCGATAATACCTGCTGCCATTAGTGATAATCGCAATAATTATTATTTAACTGATTCTAATTATAATAATAAATTAAATATTAATACCACTTATGCCGCACCCTGTATAATGGTAAACGGTATCATTAATTCTAGTGAATTACTAAATTACCTTAATTTCTATGTCCCTCAATGTCAAACAAAATCTACTATGTATACTTTTTACACGCAATTACATAGAACTAATTACTTAATCATTATAATGTTAATAGAATGATGAGATTAACTTACTAATGATACACAAGTCAATTTATTTAATTTTAACTCTATCGAATCTTTTTATAGTTATTAAATTAGAAATTAGAATTATTTAACAATATTATAAACCATATTTGTGTTAATAACTGTTATTATTAATCTTAATTAATTACTCTCTATTTTGTATATTTAATATCTATTAATCTCACTCTGTTCACCTTTTTTTTCTATCTGTCAAATTATGTTGTTATAATGTTTGATTTAAAACTGTTACTTACTTCGCCTGTTTGAATTAATAAAATAAAAATAAAATGTTACTGACTTAATTCATTTCACCTGTACATTTTAGGATTTGGGAAAGTATGTTAACAAAAATAAATTTATTTCAGTGCAGTAGAAATGTAGAGCATTATATATAGAATGTTGTAACAGTCAGTTTTTCGATCTGTGATTGGTCGGTGGTGTTCGGTGATCGGCAGTGTTCGTCAAAGTAGGCAACTGCTATTGGCGACGAATTAAGTGTTGCCAGATGAGGCGATTTTTCGCCAAAATGGCGTTTTTAGGCATGCGTTTGGCGTACAATTGTTTGATTTGGCGTTTGGCTCTTAAAACGGCGATACTCAAAAAAGATATGGCGAAAATTGGCGTTTTAAAAAAAAATTTTATTTTCAAAAATACATTTTTTGAATAAAATATTTATGTAGTATATAATTATTAAAATGTATGATTTAAAATTGTAAACAATAAATGAATTATTTGTTAAAACCAGTCTGTTGTTTTTTAACACATTATACTATATATTATTAAAAAATTATTATTAAAACCCAATTAATTTGATATTTAACTTTATATAGTTCAGTAAGATATATTTATTTATCTATTGTGGCCTTAGGGATCATCTTAAAGTTGATGCTATTAAGATAAGACCAGAAAATATTATTTATATAGTACTATTTCACTATACTACATGAAAAATAGAAATAATTGTTGCAAAACTGGTATTATATATTTCCAAATAAAAACCAAAATATTGTAGTAAAAACCATTACTTATTAGTGATTACGATACCTGATTTATGTAACACAGTATTTAATATGGACAAATGGTAATAGATTTAAAAACTTTATTTATTAACTTAACTTTATTATTTTATTAAAATTACTCGGCATATTAATATATTCTAATAATGGGAAAAATTGAAAAATTAAGAAAATACCGTAAGACTTGGGAACAAGACAGTTGGGCAAAAGGTGTGTATTATTATTATTATATTAGGCAGAGCAAATTAATGAATATTAATATTATCAATATATACTTCCTTTAGGTTGGTTAACAGAAGCTGATCCTAATGCTAATACTTTAGTTGAAGCATACTGAAAAGTTTGCTGTTCTTATTTAAGAGCTCATTTGACCGACTTGAAAAGACATGCAGTCACCAAAACTCACCGTGAAAAAATGGCCAGATTAAATCCTGTAAGAAATCAGCAATCTGTTTTAAGTTATATTGTTATTACTAATGAACAAAAAACAATTGATTTAAAGTTAGCTGTTTATGTAGCTACTCACACTGCAATTAAAAGTGTAGATCATTTGTGTGAAATACTTAAAATAATTGGAAAAGTACAACTCTTGGTAATTTAAAACTTCATAGAACAAAATGTTCATCGTTAATCAAATATGTCATTGCTCCATCTTTAATTGAAGAACTCGTCCAAGATATCGGTACCAGTTATTTTTCTCTGATTGTTGACGAATCGACTGATGTTTCAGTTTTCAAATACCTATGCATATGTATTAAATATTTTAGTGTGAAAAGTGAATCTATGAATTTACTGTTTTTAGGTTAGTTGTTAGTTGTACAGCTGAATCACTTTATAATTATATTTGTAAATTCATGGATGAAATACATTTAGATTTAGGAAATGTAATCGGTATAGGTACTGATGGGGCAAATAATTTGTGTGGAAAATTCAATTCTCTTTTTACTCGTTTAAAACAAAAAAGCCCAAACTTACAGATTGTTAGATGTATTTGCCACTCCTTAAATAATGCCGTATCTAAAGCATCTGAAGAATTAAAGAAGAAATAGATCATATGACGATATTTGCAATTTATTTATTTTTTTGGAAAAAAAATCATGCAAAGAACAGTAGTTTCAAAGTATATATGATAACATTAATAAGTCTGTATGTTACTTAAATATAAAAAATTGTGATTTTGGGATTGGATATAATCAAGCAATACTCAACATTAATTTGTCTCCAGAAAACAAAATTTGTATAGAAACAAGGGCATTTCATTTTATTAAGGAGTTGTTGCAAGAAATAAAAAAAAGATTGCCTGATAATTTAGAATTTTTTAAAAAATTAAAATTATTCTCACCTGCACAATGCTTGAATCAAATAAATACACCCTTTAGTGATTTGCCGTTCATTAATATATTTCTAAATCAAACTGATTTTATTTTGGTGGGAACGCAGTGGGATAAATTGGTAACTGTTACCTGGAAAATGTACCTTAATGAAAAGGAGTTACACGATAGTCACCAATTTTGGCCTAAAGTGTACAATTATCAAGATGCTGGAGGTAATTATGCGTTTAGAGAATTAGCAGGATTTGTTCTTAAAATCCTTTCCTTACCATCAAGTAATGCTGTTGTAGAAAGGGTCTTTTCTATTATGAATACTGTTAAAACTAAAGCTAGAAATAGGATAAATACTAAAATGTTAGATGCTTTATTAAGAATTAAAATTCATTTCTACAAACAAATGTTGCACTACATTTTCCCCATCTAAATTGATGTATGATAAATTTAATTCCGAAATAATGTACAAATGTGTAAATAATGTAAATACTGTGAATAATGTGATAAATGAAGAATTGTTGACCGATGAATTAGTTGATATTGTAAATGAAATAAGTTTACCAGATTTTTATGACTAACAATATTACTTAATCTAAATTATTGGACTATTACAGTATTGTATTTTTATGTATATAGAAAAATTAAATAAATGCCTAGTTTGTCAATATTATTATGTTGTTGGTTATTACTTGGTAGGTTGTACCTTGTACTACAACCGTTGTAAGTACATCGTATTCGACATTCGTATATAGAAAATAAATGTATGTACATATACATATATAATATGGAATTAACAAAAAAAAACAGTTTCCATGAATATAAATAAGTAACTTATAGGTGGGTTTAACTGACAATTTAAGAGAATAAAATAAATGCAATATATTTTTTTAGAAGATAGAGTATAGACGTATAATTGCCTAACTGACATTTACATATTCTAAATTTTGGCGATAGATGGCGTTAATAAACATTTTTTTTTGATGGCGATAAATGGCGTTTTTATCAGAGAAGTTTGGTGTGTGACTAGTTTATAAGTCTGGCAACACTGGCGACGATCACCACTAGCGTTCCAAAGACCGGCCGGCCTGCTCGGCCACGACCAATTTTTGTCGAGCGAGTGGGTCAACTCTCGTGGAATAGAGTATACCATGACAAATTAAATAGTTATGTCAGCAATATTAGTTATTATCAGTTTATAAAAAAATCGCGCACCCACCCTACGCCCAGCATAGTACTGTGACTTAAGCATTTCTCCGGTTCTCATTGGTCCACCGCCGTCACTGCCGACGCAGAAATGATTGCTTCACAGGCATGCGTATCACGAGTTGCTGACATACTTATTTAATTTGTCGTGGAGTATACGTCTTTAGGGCCAGGCCAATAGCGGTTCAATCGCGAGTGGTTCGATCGCCAGATTACCGTTCACATTTGAGCGGTCATACCAAAATATTGGGAGATTGAAAAATTATTATATTTTAAAACTTAGTAATCTGAGTGTCTTTAACACGAAAGATTGGTTTACAGTATAACATATTAGCTCTATCCGTACGAAATGGAAATAAACCACGATCGGCTAGTTCAGGTTTTGTGTGTAGCAGAAGCACTTGGTGTGTTACAAGATACTGTGCAAAGACCACAAAGAAAATACTGGGTTCATCCAATAAATGATGAAAGGGAAACAAGTGGACGTTTTTTAAAGTTTTATAACGATATAAGATTATATCCGGAAAAGTTTTTCACATATCGTATGTCAATTAAATCATTTAACGAGCTACTTCAAAAAGTAAGTGACCATATATCAAAGAGATACACCTTGGTGGAATCCTTTGAGTGCAGAAGATGGATTAACCATTACCTACATCACGTCTGTCTGATGGGCCGCTCTCGAGGCTCCTATATAGTCTTATCCCTTCTCTTACTAGATCCCTGACGGAGTGCGTCGTGGGTTCCCACAGTCCAGGAGGCCTTCCATGATTAGATCGTAGACTATCTCGTAGTGCGAATACTAACTTCATGACACTGGGCTGCAGATGACACGGCTGGGGTGTCGGTCTACCAGGCGCGTGTACTCACGGTATAGTTTTATAACTAATAAAAGTGGTTTCAGTGCCAAGACCTAAATCGCAGAATCTAGTATGCGCCGAGGAGTTCTCATAGCTTTTATTACCGTTTCGGGTTTGTCATCCAGCCGTTGGCAGATGCCGAGGCTGGTGTCAACAATTATAGTGTTGCTCTCCCAGCGTCTGTGTGTGCTGCCGACATTATTTCTCTACCCATGTGTTACCGTAGTACAGTGGATACTGT